GCACTAAAACTCGCTTTTCACAAGGGAGCCAAGCTAAGAAAGCTAAAGCCAATAAGCCAAGCCAAGCCAAATGCAACACCAGCTCAATATGCACCGACATGCAAAGGCCTACGCGCAGGGGACAAAGGTAAACATTAATTAAGGATCAATAAATTTACCCACGAGCTGAACTTTCTTCGAAAAATACAACAACCACACCAGTAAATGTGAAAGGAATTATTGGGAATCGAAGTACAGGACACAAATTCGGAGAAGCAAAAAGTCAGCAAATTGAAGTTTATCAGCCACCTGTAAACCAACATGAGGAAATTGCTTTTAAAATGAGCTACAGGGTCTTCAAGTAACGCTTTTGTGTCTTGAAGAAGGAAAACCAGGGGTCCCAATAAAATCTGCGGCCATTAGAATAGGGCCTGTGAAAAAATAAAATGACGACCGTGCCTTAATGTAACTATGAACTAACGAAACTGTCCGTTACAGAAGGTGGTTGATCCGCTTCGCGAAATGTCAGCAATGGCTGCTCCCTGCATGTGTTGTGCATCGATAGAGAGAGGGTATTTTGTTATTTTTGGATGTAAGTATGTATGAATTCATTTACGCGTTTTTTGTTTTTACAAATCACTAAGGAATACAGGCCCGTACCTATTTTTAGAAAATTATTAATGATTTTTCAGATGAGTGAGTGAGAATAAAAACCTAAACCGTTGAAACTGAAGTGGTATCTCAACCCAGTCCCATGTATTTATGCACATTATATATGCATTAGAGTTAGGAAGTGGGAAAGAGAAGCACCCCATCCACCAACACGAGAGAGAGAGAGGGTACATCGAGTCACCCCGTCCTTGAAGTCCGACTTTGCGGAAGAGAAATAAATGCTAGACTTTTCTTTTATTTTTATGCACCAGTTCTCACACAAGAGGAATGGACATCTGGACTAGATTCCTTAAAACCCGGTTCACCCGGCCGCGCTACTTAAATTTCCCAGCACTAGGAACAATTTCGGGTTAAATGACGCAGCAACCAAGTAATGAGGCCTTTTTGCAAAGGGTAGGAGGCCAT